CAGTGTACGCTGTTGGCGTCTACTCCGCCCCATTTTCCACTTCCCGCCCGCGCGTTGCAAATATATAGGCTAGTAGCTGACCTAGCCATTTTATTGTACGAAGTTTTTTCGCCAGGGTCACAGATGAGTATTATTTATTTTGTACATTAGAATCCTATGTAGTCACTTCATAGTTAGAGCATATTTGTTTTTGTGTACTGTGTTGTCCTTTATGTGCTGATGAAGGCTAATCGCCACAATATCCTTTGATTGTTTTTTTAGATCGATTTTGTACAGCTAACACAAACTATTTGTTGTTTCTTATTAACTTTTTCTCTTCCCCATAATTTTCTACTCCTTTTAAAAACTGTATTATAGGACAACGGTTTAGTATGGGACAGAAAAAAATTGGGGGAATTATTCGGTTGTGCTATTTATCATCATCATCATTATGCGCCTTGTCAGTTGGCGTAATTGCTCGTTTATCTGCACAGATCACAATTATCGTTGCCTGGAACAGCTCTCTTGATGATATCCCTCTATGCCATCATTTCAGTCCATCCAGCATCATCTCTCTTGGTCTCTTTACCCCTCTTTCTACTGATCTTTCCAGTTGTCACAATGTTCTCCATTGTCTCTCTTCTCATTACTTGGTCAAAGAACAGTGTTTATTTCCTTCTTACTGTTGTATTTAGAGATCTACTTTCATTTGCTTCTTTCAAACAATCGTTGTGATATTTATGTGTGAGACAATTTAACAAGAAAGGAGCATGACAAAAATCTGTGCTGTCCTCAAGAATGTTCAGCTTAGATACAGTTATTACATTTTTCATGTGAACTGTTACTCATCTAAAAGTAAAAAGTATTTTAAACTGGAAAAATAATACACACAATGATGGCAACACAATTTAGGAAGACAAATATATGTACTAAATAATACAAACAGAAAAGTAAGTAAAATAATATTGTTAAAGTTCCCAAAAAATGTATTTATGCTATTTAATATAAACAGATTACACCAAAACAAGGTAGCTTGAGAAAATTAATGTCCCTTTTCACATGTTTTCATAACTGTCTTAATGGCGGTAATAAAGAAATCTATACACTGCTTAAAATGCTATAGAAAGGCAGTGTACATTCATGTATATATTTATGTTTGCAAAATGTGTAGGCGAATACATATATAACAATAGTAAGTACCTGTAGTAACATGAATACCAAGTTTTAAGATATAATGTACTATACAATTTTGGAAGGTGATGTAGATTACACTTAGTCAAGATCATGGACATATTATTAAATGACCATTTTGCAGGGAAATCTTGCAAGTGCAGTGCTTAGTTTGCTCACCTGCATTCTAGCGATCACAGGTTCAACATCACTAAGGCAGGTTCTTTTTAAATAGCTTGAGATCCCAACTTTACTCAGCATTAAACAGGAGCCAGGAAATACTATGGGAAATAAAGGCAATCAGCAGAATGTTAACTGAATGACTCATCAATGGTTGACTGGTCCATATAAATATTGGCTAGCACCACATGGTCAAAATCAGGAAATGTCATGGGAAGCAAAAGTGGCTGTCATTATGTTGATCATATCAACCACTGACATAAATCAAAACTAACATTTTGACATCGTCACATGTTGTGCTGATAAGTATGGGCAGTCCCAGATCAGGTCTGTCTTCTGAATTTATCTCTTTATTTTTCTTTCTTTTCTTTTTCTTTAAATCAAATTTATCAGTTGTCAAATAATTTGTGAGTTTACTGTTTCTTCTTATAAAATGCTCCCAGTAATCTTTTATGACAAATTTCTCAAATTTATGATTTTTGTCAGTTAATTTAAGGTTTGCCTCCTTCCTTTTTCTGTCCATTCATGGTATTGTTTAAATTTTCTAAGAAACCACATCTCCACTGCCATTACATTCAATTCAGCATGTGTTATTGTACTTGTTACCCATGCATACAACAGTTCAAATTCTGCACAACCTGTGGTTCCAAGTTAGCTAAGTACTGTATACTCCTGTTTTTGACGGACCTCCAACTTTGTAAAATTCATTTTAGAATGAAGAAAGAATTAATTAATGCAAACCGGGACACACAGGGAAAACAAAGGATAATATTCTGAAAATAAGGTGTTTATTTTCCATAGACCAACAAATAAGAAAGACCTCTTAAAAACCTTTAGCACTCTTTTTCTCACTGTAAATGACATCTGTCTTTAGGCTTTGTTTTGGGATCTTACAAACAAAAGGCTACTTTGCAATGGCAAAACTAGTTATAATTGCTAAAAATTAACAGATGCCATGACTATTCCAAGAAAGCTGCACTGATTTATTTCAGGATGTTCTCGTTTACTTGGATGCTATTTTGTAGGATTCTTTGAGTTGAGAGATTTCCATAATTTTTGGTTTTTCACAAATGAATTTTAAACTACTCACTACTTTTAAGTTACTCACTGTGTATAGTTAACTCTTTCCGCTAAACACTTTTTCAATTCATGTTCATTGTCTTTAATCAACACTAAATATTTTTTCTCTCCCATTATATTATCTGTTCAAATTGCTCAATATATTTTTAGTATTCAGGGAAACAAGATCAGGAGACGTTAAACATTTCAGTATTCTATACTTTTTCAAATTAATTATTATAGACTATTGGAAAAATATCCACTAACATTCAACTAAATGAGGGAAAAGTTTCATCAATTTTTGCACTTATTCCAGGCTCACACAGGCTGGAATATGTTAACAAGAAAGAAAACTCCACAGCAGGGGTGAAAATACATGTTTGTTTTGTCAGTTCAAACAGTTGCTGGCTAAGCAGTTAAGAATGCTGGCTTCTTCTTTGGGAGACCCAGTTTAAATCTTCACTAAGATGATGACTTTTGTCTGTTAAGGAAAAAATAACAACCCTAAGCTGTACGGCACTATATTTATCTTGAGAAACATTTCCAAAAGAATTATTGAAATAAACATAGATCTGTATTTGTGCTTTATTAATTACATCAAAGCGTTTGATAAAATGAAACATAAAGAAATTATTAAAATCTTGGTAACCTTAAACATTGATGGTAAAGATCTGAGAATAATAAAAAGCATATACTAGCAAAAAGAAGCAGCCATAAGGATTGACAACCAAGTTAGAACTTTTCACAAAATATTAAAAAAGGTAGAATTTAAATACTTGGGAAGTATCTTTACATTCAATGGTAAAATAGACAGAGAGATCGAAGCAAGAATCCAACAAGTGAACAATGTCGCATACCACCTTGCCCCAATTTTAAAACACCCTGCTGTCCCAGCTGAGATAAAAAGACAAATTATAAATACAATCTTTATACCGACATTAGGTTATCAATGTCAGACTTGGACATTAACAAAAGAACACGAGAGAAGACTAACCACCTGTGAAATGAGATGTTTGAGAATGGCTGCGAATAAAACCAGAAGAGATCGAGTGAGAAACGATGTGATTACAAGAACTATTGGAACCATACCCATCGTTAAATTTATTGAGAAGCAAAGAATGAAATGGTTTGGTCACCTAATGAGAATGGAACCAACGATGCCAGCATCAAGAGCATACAACATGAAAATTGAAACACCAAGAGGCAGGGGAGGACCAAGAAGAAGATGGATTGAAGGAGTCACGGACAACTTGAGACTTCATAACATCACGGCATATGAAGCGACTGAGCGCGCCCTGGCTTGGTTGCCGATCATCTGATAGACTGCGACGCCTAGCGACACAAGCAGATTTTGACAAAAGAAGAAGATTAAAAAAGGTGTTAGACAGGGATGTGTACTATTTATTTAATTAGATCCATACACGGTATGCCTGGAATATCAGCTGGTGGGCATATTGTGAACAACCTGCAATTTGGTGAGGATATAGTTTTGATCGCTGAAAATGAAACACAACAGTAAGAAATGATGGCTATAATTTTTACAGAAAGTGAAAACAAGGGTCTTAGTTTGAACAGCAGAACAACTGAAGTAATGCATTAATAAATGTGAAGACAATGCCTGGTGCTGACTGTAATAGTGATTACATTATGGTAATTACAAAGAAAACTGACCTTCCAAAATGCAACATCAAAGTAAATTGGACCAACCTCAAGAAAGCTGACACGTTTTAAGTACTTGGGTACCCTGATAAATTCAGATGGAAGATGTATTTAAGAATGTAGAATAGCTCAAGCTTAAGCAGAATTTTACTAAATGAAGAATATTTTATGCAATCTTTTTTTTTCAATTTAGATGAGAAAGAGAACTCTTAAAGCTGTATAAATCATATCTTGATATACAGAAATAAATCACTGACAGTTAGTAGATTAGTGAAAATTATTTGGAATCTGTGGAGATGTGGTTTTATAGACGAATGGTGAGAATACCCTGGACATATATAAATAGTAATGAAGATGTCTTCAAAGAAACTGACTCATGCAGAACTGATTATCCACATCAGAAAGAGACAGTCTACATTCTTTGGTCATGTGATTAGAAGAGTTGAGTTGAGTCAAGAATTGACATCACAGCACTCAGGGCATTCCCATGCATGCTCTGTGATGAGAAGGAGAAAATTGGATTACATCATGACAGTAGGAAAGTTGGAGGGGAAGAGAGGCAGAGAGAGACCAAAAGAAAAGATGATAGACAGTCTGACATCATGGTATGGAGGATCAGCTGGATCGGAGTTGAATGAAAATACATGAGGCAGAAAGTTGTGGATAGTTATGACTACCAACACCACACATGGATTTTAAGAAAAGAAACAAAAAAAGAATAATCTGCACATGCTAAACATGTCTTGACAGTGTCTGACAAACTTTCAGTCTTATCATATATGCCAGAAGAGAATACTGTCTCATAAATAGTAAACATTTATGATCAAGCAATAACTACTAAGCAACAAAAAAAAAAAAACAGATAAATAAGTGTAGCAAAGCAAAACTTAAATTTGCAAGATCCAAATTTAGGCAGGTTATAGATAAATTTGTGTTTCTGTTGTCTGAACAGCTCAAGCTGTTTCATTAATGACACCACTTTCAGGCCTGGTAGAACCATAGCTGGCTGGCTGTTCAAAAGTTTCATCAGTCAGTCTTCTGTATGGACCTTGTTGATTAGATTTTCTTTTGCGAATCATCACAATAATCAATGTGGCAATGCCAATACACCCAAGGGTAGCAGCCACTGAAATAGCTGTAGATTAAAAAAAAAAAAAAAAGAGTTATTTCCTATTAAACTGATAAAAAGAAATTAAATGCTTTTAGAAAGTGTTATTTACTTCTTGTACGGATTATTTCATCATGTAAGTTTTACAGTTCATACTTAAAATCATATTCAAATAAATATCGGTGAAAGTTGGACATCATGCTGTCTCTTCTGTCTCTTCTTTGTAATTCCATGGTGCCGGGTTTGATCCCAGCTGCAGGACATTCAGCAGCAGACTGCATTGCAGTGTTTTTAACACTGGTATTGAGAGAGCTAACTATTCACAACACAGTGGCAAACTATTACATGTATATTTGCCTAGTGAAATTACAAACAGCCAAAACATGCAGGGGTTGGTTTTGCAACATCCTGTAAAGGATATGCAACAAACATTTTTTTTTTAAATTGTCTTTCCTTTATGATTTATAATGAGAGCAGAGATTCTTAACTACTTCACTGCAAGACCTGTTTTGTTTTTTCAAGCTAGTGCTTCCATGTCATTCCTATATTATTCATCCGTATCTCTAAATTTGTTTCAGCAAGTATTTTTGGTCTTCTTATTAGGTATAATATATCTTCAGAACATCTCAATTTCCTTTACTAGTTTCAGAACAATATGTGTTCTAGTTTAGCATTTTGTTGGTTTTCTTACATTTATCTTCTTCACTGTCTACACCAAACTTCTGGATTCACAGGATTTGTCTAGTTTTTTAATGAGTTAATCGGTCTTCTTCTTCTTCGTGTTTACTGGCTGTAAACTTTGGTGGAAAGTTCAGGTTGTTCAGTTACCTCAGGACTTTAATCTTTTGCAGAACCTGAATGTTGCGTGCACATCTGTTTAACCAGTATGGTTTATTTATATGCAGAATGTTGGTTCCTTGTCTCTCAGGCAGATGCACTCTAACTTTGAAGGATGCGCCCAGTTTATTGACTTCTTCCACATGCGTATTGATAGGCAGTGGGTTTGTTCATTGTTTTCCCCACAACTGTCCCCCAGAACCCACATGGCGAGTTAATCGTATTAATTCTTTAATGTATATTTATTATGAAAAATTTTTTTCATTTACCCATATTTTCAGATTTTAAGGCTAAAAGTTCAAATATGCCTAAGGTAGTGTGGTGTCTTTTTATTAATAAAAACATGGACTGACTTATTTGACCGCAAGATTACAGAATGCCAAAAGGCACAAATGTTCCAAAAAGAATAAATACTTTGATATATTAGCTGTAACTTCACTCAGAAATCCAATTATGATGAAAGAAATCAAATTACAATTGAAAAGCATATTTCTTCTGATTCCCTTGTTTTTTCTTTAAAAATCAGAATCAACCTTTGTATCTTTCAATATCCCAACAGAGACAACTCATCATATTACTGGCTTATTTGTGTGCAGTTGGTTGCTCCTTGTGGCTCAGGCAGATGTACTCTGACTTCGAAGGAAACCCCCAATTAGTCAACTGCTACGACATACTTATTTGGGAGGCAGTGGGCCTATTCTTGTTTTCCCCACAATGGGGCCTCAGTACACACACGGGAAAAGCCCTGGAACAAGATCAAAGTCCAGACACAGGCAACCAGCCAGGAAAATCTGTAGAAGTTCACAGCTGGAGTATATACAAGAAGATAAAGAAGAACATGTAACCAGACAGATTGTGGTGTAAAAATACAGAAAAAGAAAATGTGGCTAACACAATACCTGCTGCCACACCAGGAGACATTTCCTTTCCAGAGTTGTTATTCTGTTTAGAAGGCTCAGCAATTAAAGTACTTTGAAATGCTTTTGCTCTCTCATTCTTCATCCAGGTCTGTATACATAATACAAGTAAATATTGATGAATGTAGGAATGGTGAGAATCTAATTACTAATAATGATAAAAATCATACAATTCTAATAATCCTATACCATGCATCTACCATTGATTCACTGAGTGCTCCTTATGGATGACTGGCTTATCTTCCAGATAGCAGTGACATAACTCTTTCAGTCCCACACATATACACCACGTGTGACTGGATTCACTCATATGTACCAGCTAACATATCACGATTGTACATTTTTATGTTTAGTCAAGGCATGCTAAAATACTCAACAACATAAATGTCTGCGATAAGGGATGTATATCTAGGAGCTGTGGTTGTAGGACCAGACAGGGACATGTGTGCTGGTAGTAATTGTGGCTGTATGTTTATAAAATGATCATACCATTTTATTTTCTGCTTCTGAATGAGTTTGGTGCAAGGTATTTTACTCTGACAATCCTATAGTTATTTCCTACTTGGTATTTGACTTAAATTGTAACTTTCCACAGGTATCGCATACTACAGATTTCCACTTTGTGCAGGTGAACCTTTAATCATTTGGCTTCTCTGTTTTTGATTACTATTCTCACTTGTTATTTCCAGCTTCTCTAATAATTATTTTAATTCTAATGTTGTACATTTCCTGACCCTCAGTTCAATATTCTAATCATGTTTTAAGTGTCTATACTTCTTCCCAATATATTATGCTGTCTCAGTGGCAAAAGTGAGCGAAAACATATTGCTTGATCTAGTACTTGTCCATTCATTGTAATACTCATTGCTAGCCTCTCATTTTCTTCTTCTTCTTTTTTTTTTTTTTTTTTTGTAAAGGGGGAGGGGGGAGAATGTGACGCTGAAAGGGATATAGTGTGGGCGGGGGCATAAACATGCACAATTTCTGCCATTTGCATTCATTGTCATTTAATTGTCTCTTGTTGATATTTCTGGAACTGTAACAGTAAAGCAAATACATAATCCTTCTTGCACTGGCTATATGTGGCCAGACCCATATTTTTATACATCAATCAACACTTAATAAGTGATGTGGTCAACATCACAACACAACTAGTACAACTTCTTCTTGACCTATGACCCATGTATTTCAGACATATACAACTTACGACCTATGTTACTTGTCACCATCCGCACTTACGATCACTAAAAAAAATTTAATAACAATAATAATTTCAGGTTGTACTTCTGTTTACATTACTACAAAAGAGTGCAGGTTATGTGTTTTTCTCACCACATACATTAATTATACCTATATAGATTAAATTGTTATGTGTTATGTATAATATTTGTTTAACCATCTGAATAAAAATAGCATTGAAAAACATAAATTCAGCTTAGGGCCAGTTCAACTTATGACCTGTTAATCGGAATGGAACTTGGTCATAAGCTGAGGAGATCCTGCATATCACACACTTTTTGTTGCTATTAAACAATGCAAGCTATGTAAAGAAGCACAAACTTACCTTTGTCTCTTCATTGAATATTAACAGATTATCTTGCTCAAGGAAAGTAGCTGGCTTTTTCATGAACGGTGGTCTCTTGACTGGAGGCAGAGCAGGACCAGACAGTGCTCCAGTTTGCACACAGTAGTGAATGGAACAACCCTGTAATGAAGTCACATGCCACATACAAGCCTGAGTATTATTCATGTGTATCAATCAACATGGTGCATATGTTTTTACATCTTATGTTTAGTGAGTGGCTCTGGAGTACTCTGAAAACATATTCATTCAATGCAAGGGCTGTGTACTTGGTCCTTCTGGAAGTAGTATACCTATGAGTTTATTATTGTAATTCTTAACTCTCATGGACATTAGCTGGGACATTGTGGGACTGAACGAGTTAATAATTACTGTTTTAAAAATAAGACAGAGAAGTAGGGAAACTCATACTTAACACTGCGGTCAAACAACTGAATCTTACAGTAAAAAGTAAGAACAGGATCCTTTTCAGGCACATGATGTTAGACTCATATTTTGGTAGATCAGCATTTGATGGGCGATGTGGTCAACATCCTGCCGGCCATCTTTACTTCCCAGGACTTTATCTGGTACCCATTTTAAGCTGGATGGACCTGGCTGCCAAGGTCATTTTTGTTTTTACAAAGATTTGATTCAGTGCAGAATTGAACCTAAAACCTTTAGGCCAGCAGATGAGCATCTATCCACAACACCAATGCAGCTTCCAAATCGTTAATTTCCAGCCTGTAATTACTTTTCAAATCCTGAGAGGTTCTAGTTTAATGTCACTGCTGTTTGAGTCAATAGACATTTATTTATAACACCATGGGACAAAAAGGCAAAATAAACACTTGGCTGAGAATGATTTACAACTATCTGTGGAATTAGATAGTCCAAGAAAGTAAACTGTCTTTAAATGAACTAATGAACTTATTATGGTGTGTTGCACTGGTACAGAAAGAGTGAAATATACTGTTACTCCAGTGGAAGCCAGCAGATAAAAGTAACCAGAAGGTCCAGATTCTTTCCATGCAGAAGATCTATCTGGCTAAATGGTCTTACGCTCTGAGAGTTTATGATATGTTTAATATTTAACTCTTTCGGTTCCAAGGAAGGAAGGTTTATAATTTGTTTAATATTTAACTCTTTCTGTTCCTATGTAACAAAGGATGTGTGAAAAGCTTTGATCCCAGGTTGTCATGAATCTCTAACACCGCATACTGTCTTATTTTATTTAAAAAGTAAATTAACGGACACTTCTCCATGTTTTCAGGCATATTGGGCATTTAGACTAGACCAATAGTATAAAGACAAATCGGCACTCTGTGAGTGATATGGTCATCATCATGCCAGCCACCTTGAAAAAAAAAAGTGAATACATGTAACTTTGAAGAAAGTTGACAATAAATCAGCAATTACAGTAATTGTTAACAGAATTTTTTTTAAAAAAGACCATAATGTGGAATGAAAGCTAGAATTTAAAAAAAACATTCAAATTAGTAAATCCATAAACTAGAAGACATGAACTTAAAGATTCCTTGCAAGAACAAGCAACAGCTTTGGAGTGCTTTACTGTAGTGTTTAAAGTTTAAAGCCAAGACGTTCGACTGCATTGTACCAGATTTTATCCCATACGGCACAGTCTCCTACAGAATGGTAAACTTTCTGTTAAGAGTGATGTTGCACAAAGAACAAAGTCCTTACCTCCAGAGACAATCCCTTGGGATATGCATATGTTTTTTGGGCTATCCTCTGAAATAACAGGGCCTCAGTCACATGTAAATTGCGGACTTCCAGAAAATTAAAGTGCGGACTTCCGACGACTACTGCCACCGCCAAGAGTATCTCCCACGCAGCTACCGGCGGCATGGAGCGGGGCTAAAATAGATGGCTGGGACTCACGAGCAGCAACTACTGCATCTCCTGCAGCTTCCTTCATTTTATTTGCTCTTGAGTCCCAGCCATCTAGTTTAGCCCCACTCCATGCCGAGTGTAGCGGTCTGGGAGATACTCTCAGCCATGGCGGCAGTCGCCAGAAGTCCGCTATTTCATGTGACTGAGGCCCTGTTAGAGTATGTTTTTGGCCGCCATAATATGTGCCCATTATTCGGAGGATAGCCAGGTTTTTTTTTAATACTACAAGAAGAGGTAAATGTGCTGAATGCTAAATACACATTATTATGCAACACAGTTTACTTGAGCGCAAAGAAATATAAACACTAAATCTGCCACTAATGAACCATGTGTCACATGTCTAGAGTAATATGAACACCAAAATGTAAAACTAATTAACCATGTGTCATATGTCTATAGTAATATGAACTCTAAAATCTGCCACTAACTTTCATGTGTCATATGTCTATAGCAATGAAGAAAAAATGTTACAAATAAATAGCCCTAGACAACAGAGGGGAAAGATAAGGTAGTCTATCACAGTCACAACACAAAAATCATCTATAGGGATAAAATATTGCAAATTCAAATGGAAATAATTGAAGTGAGATGTTGAAAATGTGTAAACAAACTAACAGAAATGAAGATGGAAAGTAAAATATGTATAATCTTTATAAACTTAATATAGCAAAAGTTATGTTAAACATGAAGTGTGAATAGAATGCTATATCCCAATTATAATTCAATGGTATTTTGCTGACTATATGAGGTATCAATATAACGCAAAAAAACGGAAATATAAATATTTATACCATATCGTCTGTTGCTATATGCTGACTGTACCCTTCTGGACATTTTGAAGGCCAGCTGTTTTCACTGTTTTCCATGAATGACCTCAAAGTGTTTGCAACAGCAGCCTTCTTTGCACCCACTGGGTGCGCACCCTCAGCAGCAAGTGGATTTCCTGGTAACGAATGAGGGTCAATGTTTTAAGCAAATAGATATGATAAAAGTTGTTTAAATAGCTGTATACATATAATTGTTGAGATATTGTGGATGGGCTTGATCACCCATGTGTGTCGGCAAAGCACATGATGATTTTAATAATACATCAAATCTGTGGCACAGAAGTTATGGACAAAGCTTCATAATTTGACATACCAAGTTCAATTTAGCTGCAGATGATCTGGCACCAGATTGCATTGATTTTGTTAATGGCATTAGCATCAAACTATTCAGAAAGCAATGGCAAACTACTGAATGTAAAATTACCTAGTTTAAAAAAAGGGCGGTTGGCAGGTTGTGCTGTAGTTTACAGCTAGGCTGCAACATCTGATTCCTGCAAATCTGTAGTTAGTCACCTTTTATAACACACACATAATTAACCTTTTATGACATGCTTGTTGGGGGGCGGGGGGAGGGAGGGTCTGTTCTATTTCTAAAGCATGTCAGCACCACAGAACCCATACTGAGAGTAAGATAGACAATTCAAGAAGTTTATATAAATAACATACTCGTATTTCTTCCTTTTGCCATCTTCACAATGGAGGCTGGTTGCAGCAGATATGTCCATTCACTGCTGTCCTCTTGATTATTATCTGGTAGACCCCATTTTTTTTCCATGGTGGGACTCTTGCGGCATTTCAGAAAGCCATAAAATAGTCCTTTTTTCCTAAACTTCTTGCTAAGGAAATCAAACCCTGGTATGTCGAGGATGCTCCATACTTAGCCCCTTAAGCCATGAAGCCCCACAAATAACATATGGTGAGATTTATTTGCTTGAATTTGGTGTCACTGCTCTTGTGGCACAATATATGTGCTCCGTCTCTCTCAGCAGAGGTTGGAATGAGCGGGATGCTGATTGCTCCCGTAGTTGAACTATATTTATTTTTTATGAAAACTTTCATGAGCTTTATGAGATAGTTATTTAAAGAAAGTTTTATTTTTTCTTTTGTTTTCTGACAGCTGAACAGAAGGTGTTATATTCTGTTAACATTCTATTCTGTCAGTCTGAGATTTGAAAACCTAGCCTAAATGCTTATAGGCATATAAGAAGACAGCCAGACAGACAGATACACATATAGACACATACATGGACAAACAGACAAGGAAAGATTATGTGAATGATGCAAGATACTATACAGAAACCTTCCTAAAGAACATTTTGTTGTTAAGGAACTAGTTAATCATTTCTGCACCTTATATAAACAATTAGAAAACACAATGTACCTGATTTACAACTGAAGAAACCACCAAAAGGCACAGAGAAGGCTTGAGCAAACTCATAATCATCACTAATGCAGATTTGTAAGTCTGTGAACATCTGGCGAGCATAGAAACTTGCTGGGCATCCCTGAAATTCACAAGTTTATAACAGAGTAATTACTATTTTAAAACAACTCTTATATGTATGTGTTCTTTACTTCCTAAAATCAACAGTTAATCTTTTGTCATTGCATGACATGTTCTTCTTCTGCGTTCATCTGAAGATGTAACTGGTTGTATCCGTTTACAGCATGGCTGCGAATATTTGTGCATTTTGGCCGACGCATCTGACTTTTGCAGGCATTTGTTTGCCAGGTTAGCCTTCATGAGCATGACATAATAATGTTGATATATCTCTAAAAATGAAAAAAAAAAAATTTGCATCTCAATAATTGCACAATGTATGATCAGCTATTATCTACACATATCAAGAAATGCATGATACATTGTTCTGGTCTGAAATATACATAAAAATGTGCATGTGTATGTATATATATGTGTGTGGGTGTGTGTGTATCTGTATATATGTAGGCTTTTATTCCAGAAATGCAGGTGTCGGTACTCACTACGTAGAATCTTAAAAATAAAATTGCTGGTACTCACCACAAAGTGTCTATTACAGTAGTGATGAAAAAAATTATTCCACAAAGAAGGTACCAGTGCTTGTACCTTAACCCAGTCTCTACCAAATAATTCATGTGCATATTTGTTTGTCTGAACTGATATCAAGCACTTTTCTTAACTTCTTGTGACCAATCCAGTTATTACACTGACTCACACTTTCCAAATTCTTTTTTTTAAAACTCCTGTCCCACAGTGTTAATCTTTTTACTTCTCAGACCCAAGCATTTGTTAATTCAAGTAACCATTTCTTAAAATTTAGCAAGTACCTGTTTGGTTCAGAAATAATTCATCTTTCTGTTTTATTTTTCAGTAGGTGACCAATTCTGTCCAAAGTAATGTACAATCATTTGTAAGCTATTTTTTCTTTTCATTATGCAATGCATGGTGTGTTATTTTATTTGTGATTTTTTTTTTTTTTTCATTTGGCATTAGTATGGAGACAGTCATAATTTGTTGGCCATTTTATGAGAAGAGGGAAAATGGAACATGATATGACCACTGGAAAGATCTGTGGAAAGAGGGATTGAGAAAGACAACAAGAGAAGATTCTTTACAGTCTTGTTGCATGGCATGGAGGTGAGTCAGCACACAAACTGATTTATGCTGCAGGAGATCGCGGATTGTGGAGAGGCACGATCGCCTATGCCAGGCGGCAAGGCACTGATGCTTAAACAACCTGGCTAAATATTTTAATATGCAGCACACAGATATTACATCTCTGAAAGTAATAGACTCATGCTTTAAAAAAAAATTGATTACTATGGGAAATTTACTGTGCAATCTTCTCGGTCAAAAGAGTCCCACTTTGCAAGTTAAACTGCAATGCTTTCCAGATGTAAGACATTTTATGCATATATTTATTCAAACCTTGGCTCCAATGACAACATTTTCGGTGGTTGATGTGTAGAGACCTCCAAAAAGATATCCTGATTCAGGTGCCACAGGACCTGTAGCAGCACACCAGTAGGTAGAGTACACTGCCTCAGAGTAGAACTGTGTGGTATGGCAGCGTTTCCAAAATATCCAATAACTGAAAAATGCAAACAGCATTCGTTTTAAGCACTAACTGCTGATTATAAAACAGCGGTCTTTTTTCAGGTGACATGAAGATTTTTTTTTTTTTTCCTTGCCAAAACTATCAGACAGCAAGTTTGCTGCTTATTTACCAGTGAAAGTTTTCCCACCATCTTCAAAGACTGTGATGGCATGGCTGGTAGGTCTATGTGACTCTAGCCATGCCAACAGATCATGATGGCTCACTAAACTACAGGCTTTGTGAAGCTATAATACACAATTTCAGTGTCACTAAATCATTTTCATTTAGGAATATAATTTATATAATGAGCAATATATTAGGATTTTGTTTCAAATAATCAAACAAATGGTTCAGAAGAATATGCAGCCAGAAATAGAATAGGAGAACATTGACAGGTACCCATTTTAGGGTGGTTAACCTCGGAGCCAAGGCTAATTTGTAAGAAGAAATGTTTTCTCAGTGAGGATTCAAACACAACATCTTTGGGCTGACAGGCAACCATCTAGTGACTGTGCTACTGTTGCTCTCATTAAATATATAATAGCAACAGAAATGTGAATTTTGAGGTAATGCGAAGAATTTCAGTGATGAACACAAAAACATTTGAGGTTGATCTCCAAGAAACAAATGAAAGTGATAAACTGATTATAGAAATTAGATGTACCCAGTCAGCATTTCTGGACCAGAAGAGATAAACTTTACAACTGGCAATTGAGAGAATTATTATATTTAAATAAACCAAAGAACAAATAAATGCTTTGATGACTTTAGTGGTATTATAAATTAAAACTGATAATCCATGTATCTGTTTGGTGTCTGTCACAGAGCTACCTCTTAAATGGTGACCAGTTGAGAGGTGAAATTTATAGATGTCATTCTGGTTGCAATTACTAAGTTTACTGTGCGAATTGCAACAAGCTATCAACATATTTCAAATAATTAACACCTCAGTCACTAAAAGTTGACCTTCTCTGGAGTTATTTTCCTTAGAACCTACATATTTATTTACTTCCCAGAAAGTATTAATTTGAAAAGAAGAAGGAAACTATATTTCACTGTTATCTATCTTCATATTGAAGTCCAGGCATTCTTTTGGCAGTGAGATAAGAGCTGCTAAAATATACTGGCTAGAGCAGTATTTCCAATTGAAGGAGCACTACCACCCCCAATAGTGGTAGTTTCACTGGTCAAATTAGTTGAGAGGTGGAATGGTTAATGGGGCAGTAAAAACTTCACGGGCATTTAGGACCTTATACTAAACATACTTCAATGGTGGAGACAAAGATAGAGGATGAAGAATAAAGTGTTTTTTCACCATCCCATACATTCTTAATGGCCACAGTTAGCTGTGGGATTAGAAAACATACCTGATTTGAAATATTGTAGATTGTATGAGATATCAAACCATAACTACCTATGCTTCTTACATAGCACACAATAATGATCAAATGTCACATTTATGGAGACATTACCACATACCTATGACAGTCTGTCCTTTCTTCTGTCTGTGCATTTCTTCTCCCAGATTGCAACACCACAGCTGTGTAAGACGGAGGACATGACATTCCTCCGGTCTTTGGGTTCACAACATTAAGCCCATCACAAGGATTATGATTTAAATACTGCCCATTTGCAGCACATTTCTGGAAAACCCCTTCGACAAGAGAAACACACAATGTTAGGACATGTAATGTTTTATTGTATTCATATACATGTTGTCTTTATTATGCTGGACTCAAATATTTTTCCTCTTCCCCTTTATACCCCTTCCTCCCCAAAGGAGTGCTGCCCTCAGATGGCTTAGGCACAGTAGCCATGTCCTTTGCCGAGGTGTGCATCTCACCCCCATGCTCTCTCCCATCATATTTACTTGTCTCTAATAATCTACCCCCCCCCCCTCCCCCACATTCCCATGCCCTTCCCATCATATTCACAAGTCTCTAATAATCTCACCCCCCCCCCCAACCCTCCCCATCATATTCACAAGTCTCCAATAAATTACCTCAAACCCTCCCCATCATATTCACAAGTCTCTAATAAATTACCTCAAATCCTTCCCATCATATTCACAAGTCTCTAATAAATTACCTCAAACCCTCCCCATCATATTCACAAGTCTCTAATAAATTATCTCAAACCCTCGCCATCATATTCACAAGTCTCTAATAAATTACCTCAAATCCTTCCCATCATATTCACAAGTCTCTAATAAATTACCTCAAATCCTTCCCATCATATTCACAAGTCTCTAATAAATTACCTCAAACCCTCCCCATCATATTCACAAGTCTCTAATAAATTACCTCAAACCCTCCCCATCATATTCACAAGTCTCTAATAATCTCAACCCCCCAAACCCTCCCCATTATTTTCACAAGTCTATATTTATCTACCCCTAAACCCTCACCATCATATTCTCAAGTCTCTAATAATCTCTCACCCAAACCCTCCTCATTATTTTCACATTCAGGTCTCTTATAATGTCAATCCCAAACCCTCCTCATTATTTTCACATTCAGGTCTCTTATAATGTCAATCCCAAACCCTCCTCATTATTTTCACATTCAGGTCTCTTATAATGTCAACCCCAAACCCTCTCCATCATATTCACAAGTCTCTAATAATCTCCTATATGCTCTCCCCATCATATTAAAGACTCTAAAAATCTTACCCCCCAAATCCTCCCCATCATATTCACTAATCTCTTATAATATCCCCCCCCCTCCAATCCTTCCCACCATATTCACTAATCTCTAATAACCCCCCCCCCTTTTCCTATGCTCTCCCCATCATATTCACTAGTCTCTAATAATCTCCCACATGCTGTCCCCATCATATTTACTAGTCTCTAAAAAGCTTCCCTAAACGCTCCCCATCATATTCACTAGTCTCTAATAATCTCCCCTATGCCTTCCCCATTATATTCACTAGTCTCAAATAATCTTCCCCAAACCCTCCACATCATATTCATTAGTCTCTAAACCCCTTCCCCTTTTGGTTCCATACTCCCTAAAACATGGCTATTCAACTTGCGACCCATGGGCCATATCTGGCCTTTATAGGCCAATCAAGTGGCCCACGCATTATTGCTAGTTGTATTATTTTAATAATTTTTATATGCTGAGGTCCTAGCCTGTGGCCCTTTAGGATCTCCTAAGTAAACTTAGTTGAATAGCCCCTGACCTAAGATATGGTAAATGCCAGTATTAAAGACAGTGTTTTATATATACATATATATATATATATATATATGCATGAGTTAAAGTGAATTAAATATGACATTTCAAGATAACCTATATTATAATAATGTTCCCCATTTAAAAAAACCATAAAGTGACCTAACAATACAAAAGTGACAAATTATTTAAGATTCCTACCCCCAAAGGTTAGATTAGTTGGTTTTGCATGGCAGGAACCATCATCAAAATTAGCAGAGAAGCTGAAGTTAGGAGCTCCAAGTTTTGTGCAGCCGCGGATGGTGTTCATTTCATAATAAAGTTCAATTGACTGCCTTACAATCTGTATGGAATGCAAGCATATTTCTGTCTCAAACATTCACAGATATTAGTTACATGGAAGCTGCAGTAATTGTATACAAATACATAATTAAATAGTATTTCTTATATAGAATTTTTAATTATAGTAAGTAAAATGTCTCATTTCACATCAATCGCACTGTTGTTGTTGTTCAAGCCCACCAGGACTGTAAATTGAGCGACCAACACACAATGATACAATATTTATGGCCCGACTATATTTCAAGGCTCCCCCAGCAAAAGCCAGGGTGGGGCTTCAAATAAAAAAAAAAAATTGCATACCACATGAGGTCAACTACTAATTGCTACCAGTAATTCTTTGGAAAAATGAAAATTGGCTCATCTATACTAAAAATCACAAACCCTTTCTGTATTTCTTGTGTTTATTATAAATGAAGTGTTAACTCCTCCCAAACTGTGACCAACACATGGGTTAAATTTTCATTTGCCATTATGACTACAGAGTTTAATTTTAAAGTCACATTGGACGCCCAGGTTATTGTGCATTTCTTTATTTATTTTGACAATCAGTAAAAGTAAACTTTAGCCGAAGTTTATATCCCTTTGAATAATTTGTTTAATATTACTTCTCTTGAAAAGGTAATTTAAAAGAAAAAATATTTTGTTGTTATCTTTCTTGAAACCGAACATCTATATGTGTCTGTGACAATATATTTGTCCCTCTCTAAGACTGTTAAATGCTGGTGTTAGTATTACAGGGGACACCTCAGGTGCATGTAGGCCCTAAAGAAATGGTGGCAGTGAAGACAAAGATGAATAGAAGATGCAAAATTAAATATAGGGATTTAGTTAGACCTCTATTTCCACTAGGCCTACATATAGGACAGCGGTGAAGACCAAGATGAGGAAGGGGACAGGAGAACAAGACTTTCTTTCACTACCTCGGGCAAAGTCGGGAAATTAAATCTACTACTGAATAAATCATTCATTACTTGATGATGTGGACAACATTACATCAGGATTCTTCACTTTCAAGGACATTTTCCAGTATACAATTTTCAAGGCTTGGTTGACATGGGAGCTTAGAGGAACCCCCCACCCCCCCCCCCCCCACCCCCAAAAAAAGTAACACAATTTGAAACTGTCTTCTATTCAGTAAAATGTATACAATTGTCAGAATGAATTTAAAATTTGAAGTATAATAAATTAATACAACAGCCACAATGAATTTTATTGCTGACTTATTTCTTTGGTTTATGGCTGCAGATGTTTTCGCAGATCCATGGGAGTCACCACTGAAGTTATGGGGTTGTCTGCTTTGTGTGATGCTATCTGCAGGGTAAATAGCCACTCTGAAGTGAGGCAGGCTCAAAAAAGATTAAACTAGGCACAAAACATGACTTTGTAGCACTATTAAACTATTCACTAAGCACAAAATATAACTCTTAAAGCACTTTGAAAGTATCTGTAGGGCACACAGCATGACTTCTAAAGTACTCCAAAACTTACTTTTATTCTTTTTTCTCTAGTCCTGTTCTGCCTCTCATTACCAAGTTTTGAAAAGGCATCAAGTGTGAGCCTTGGTATGTGTTACTTAGACGCTGGTATTTATAGACTGCAATATCTCATCTATATGTCTCTTGCATGGCTGATTTAGCTCTGCTTCCTTTATGCCTGCTTCCATTATATCTAAATGACAGGGCTATTTGTTATGTACTGCCTGGTGGTAGTCATGACACATCTCCCATTCATTTGATCTGTTGTCTCTTGATGTAGTTAAGTACTGGTTGCATACCAACTTCTTTCTTTCTTTTGTCATTTATGACCCTGTTTTTTTTTTTTTCATTTCTGAAACTAGCTACTAGGCCCAAAATGGCTCTTATAGAATTTTGAAACTATCTACTGGGCAAAACATGACTTGTGTCACTTTGAAATTATTTACTTGTAAACAAAAAAAAATATGACTCATACATCACTTTAAAACTATCTAATTCTTTCAGTCCCAATAAGTTTAACATCTAATGGGCAATGACACTGTTAACTTTTCAACTTCAGGTTAATGGACAAAGACACTGTTAACTTTTTAACTTCAGGCTGATGAACAAAGACATTGTTAACTTTTCAACTTCAGGTTGATGGGCAAAGATACTGTTAACCTTTTTAACTTCAGGTTAATGGGCAATGACACTGTTAACTTTTCAACTTCAGGTTAATGGACAAAGACACTGTTAACTATTCAACTTTAGACTAATGGACATGACATTTTTACCTTTTCAACTTCAGCAACTGTTGTAGAAGGTAGCTCGGGCAACAATGTAGGTGTAATTAGAAAGTACAAGGGGTCACCAGATCTGTCAATGGGTACAAGATTATCATCCACTCCATCTGTCCAGTCATCCAAGGACATATTTCCAGGTTTAAAAAGTGGCCCTCCATAGGATTTAGTGTACGAGTGTGTCATTATTTTTTGATACATGTCATCCACGGTTGCATCTGTTTTATGGCTTTAGGGAAAGAAAAAACCTAGTCAGTTAAACTGGAACATTTTATTCTGAGTTAAATATTTTATAGTGGTTTCCTGGGCTTATGCGCTGCGAGTCTGACTCGTAATTCCAACGTACTGTGATCAAAACCCACTGCTGGCTGCATGGATTTTTATTATGGTATGGGGCATCGCAGGTCGACCCAGCCTAAAATGGTTACCAGGATGTATGTCCTGGGGAAGTAAAGACGACCAGCGTAATGCTGACCACATTACCTACCTAGTGCCAATTGGTCTGTAAACATATCAGTGCTCTTCCTTTACGCCTGATGTTCCTAAAGGAGTGAAAAGGAATCTTACTTTTTACTTTAAAATATTTTTTAGCTTTGAAAAGATAAAAAATAGATAATCAAATAAACTAGAACTTTATAGTGGTATTATAGTTTTATTCGTTTCATAACTTTAATGAGAGGTAGAGATTATATAAAAATTGACATTTTATCCTTCTTTGTGTGTGTGTGTGAGTTAATTTCTCTTAAAACATCTTCATTACTCTGTTTATTTGTCTATGGTACTCTCATAATTTGTCTATAAAGCCACACTGCTATAGTTTCCATATAGTTGTTTACTAGTTGACATGATTATGCTTCAAAATGTGTGTGTGCACACTCCCGCACAAGCACAAACACACACATACACACAGACACAATAGAAAGAAAAAAAGTAAGGTGTGAATACTTCTGATAGATACATCCAGTGAGCATTATGCTTCTAATAAAATTAAGATCTAGTCACAAAGTTCCATTTTGGTTCTGAGGTCTTTTTTTTTGGTGAGGATAGACCCACTGCCCCTTAACTAGCAGGCAAGAAATTAAAGGCTTGGTAAAACTGTATATGCTCAGCTGAATGGTACATGTATCGCAGACTTGCTGCAAAACACAAGACAATGTGCTGATCACTCTTTAAATAGTGAAGGCACAACAAGAAGAAAAAGGTTTTGAGATTTGAGGTTTTGAACAACCGATCAACATCATGGCACACTGGTGTAACCCATAATTGCTACGTTCTTCTTCTAACTCAAGTCTGAATCCGAAGAAGCTCAGCACAGTGCACAGGCTCTGTAGCACTGGTGAGGCTCCTGAAATACGTTGGGTAGATTTTTTACTCAACATTTTGCCTGGGCAGTGCTGTTAGGCTACTCTTTTCTATTTCCAACTGCCAAGGGATTTTTTTATTTGTGCAACAATGCACATAGGCATCCAATTTCACTACCCAGAGACCAGGGGAAATTACTAGAAGTCCAAGTCAAAGACGAATAAGTGCTAACTAATGTGCTCAGAATAATTCTCTTCTTTTAGGCAGTGTATTTCTCAGGATTATAAAATAGCCAGAACATGATCTTCTTCTTCTGCCTTTTTAGCCCCCAATGGAGCATAAGCCCACAACCAAGTCAGGCCAAGACATTCTATCCTTCGCTGCGGCTTTCCCCATGTCCTCCCCATCTTTTTAACTTCATTCTCTTGCTCCAAACTACCTGTATTTTTGGGTCTTACTTTATTTCCTTGTCCCTGTGGGTTCCAGTGCCAAGACATTCTACTTATATTATTCTCGAGTTATCTCAGCTATTGTCATATTCAATGCCAGAATCTTTGCTTCACCTCTTGGTTCACAGAAACTTGTTAAGTTCTCTCCCAAAGCTCTATATTAGTCATTCTATGAGACAATTTAATTCCCTCTATTCTGCATAGGCACCAGTTAATGAATGTCTGTAGTTTATTTTTAATTGCCCTAGTTGTTCTCCATGTTTCTGCTCCATATAACAGTATTAATTTGATATTATAGTTAATTAAACATTTTTAGTTTGGTAATAGTTTTTATTTTTTATTATCTCCGAAAATGTCCTTGTGCTATGAAAGCTTGACGTCACTGCATTCAAGAAAAGCCCATTTTGCTCAACAGTCAGCGAAGAGTCTCAATACTGATGGTACCCATTGTCATCTGGTTAACTACTCATCTTGCCTTTCCCCAGAGTCTCAATGAGGCCCAGAGCCCGTAGACACTCTCCGTTGCATCATTCTCTCTGCAGGTTTTCAATATTTTTTATTTGACTTGTGACCTCATCCTACAGGCGAGAGATCACATCTGCCTAGTGCAGTTGCACTACACCCCAAGTCGGGCTAGTCCAGTCAGCCTATCTGCCTGCTCTTTTCCCACACACTTTCTTCTCAAATACTCAGATCTGAACCAATCTGCAGTCCTATTTTCTGTTTTGTCCTTATGCCTGTTTTTGCTTTCCCTTCCATCCAAACTATAAATAGCCTTTTTTGCCAATAAATCTATCTTAATACTGGTTAGCATTCATGTCCTTATTTCATCGTGAAAACTAACTCCAAAACTACTCTTCTGTAATTCACAACCAATGATCTATTGGCTTCACAAACCTCTGCCTAACAGCAGACCATTTAGAAAAGACTATACCACTGTCACTTTTAGGTGACAGTGGTTGGAGAGTCATACCATGGAAAAGACTACAGCCTCACAGCGTAATGTTCAGATGAGACAGCAGTAAATGCGCTGCAGACAATCTGCATTGTGAAGATGTCACACACAACACACAAACAACCCACAAAAAAACCAAAAATAATACATCCTTAGGGATTTCATCATCGTTCTTTCGCTGAGTTTGTCCTAACCATGATAGCCTTTCAGAACTGAGCAAATCAAAAATTCGGGTGTGTGTGTATGTGTTGAGGAATGCTTGTGTTTGTAAGATGTTAACTGAATCCAACACATTGAATACACATATAATTACCCGTATGAAGCACTGACGTGGACAAGACTAAAAAAAGATGCACTAGCTGATGCCAAGATAGAAGTCTTCTGTTCAGTATGTCCTAAAACATATTCCCTCTGCAGATAGTCGTCTTTCACTAGAGCTGCTCCAGCAGTTACACTAGTGAGGACATGGGTGCCTGAAACACAGAAAGTTATTTTACTGCAAAACATTAACTCTTGTATTACCAAACAGATGTTGCTTTTGCTTGTTCTAATTTAAACAATTGTTACCTCATGTAAACATGTAGTAGTAATAGTTTTTGCTGTTATTGCTACTGTTGTTGTTCTTGCTGTTGCTTTCTACTGAAGTTGTAATTTAAACAGTGATGTCCTGTTAAATCCAACAACCATTTAGTTGTGAAAAATGTAGTATTTTTTTTCATTTTCGATTTTGGATATTATGCTTATTATTTATTTTAATTTTATTTCATACAGCACAGATTATGCAATATTTGTAACAGAATGTAAGAAATAGATTGTTGGCTAAGTGTACATTTCAAATAATTACGATTACCATAGTTTGTTATGTATCTTTTGGAATATTTAAACTGATCTGAAAAACTATTTTTCTGCTCAATGATATATTAAAATCTAATATAATTTGCCAAATCATCATTATGTAGCAGGTCCTTTGCAAAACGTTGATCCCATAACAGTCTGCCTGAAAGAAACTCAGTCGCTCACCAGCTCTCCCGCCTCATGTACTTTCATATTCAAGGAGTCACTTATGTCCTGTGTTGGGTGCCATGCTTTCTAGTATTACATTTTTCCAATCTCCAAATATAACTAAAATATTTCAGCTTCTGAGACAAGGTGCTGTTTCTGAGTTAGGTCTTTCTTTGTGAGACGAAACACTGTATGCCACCAGCAGGCCAGTAAAAAATATATTTTAGTAAAACTTGTGTTTGGAGAGCATATCTGATATACTGGTACAAAGATTAATATAATAATAGTAAGAGAAATGCAGTTTTCTATCAACACTAGGCACAGTAGATATAGACCTAACTTAGAATTTCCAGCTAAAAATCTTGATATCCACTTGTGTGCCATGTTGTACACCACAAAGGTTAGTTGAGCCGCAGCTGGGATCGAACCCGGCATCCCGGCATTATGAAGCGTTTGCATCGACTTAGCCACAGAGCTGACCGTACACCACAATGAATGGTAATAATCAGGGCTTTTTTTTCAAGAAAAAAAGACGCAGCTACTCCACAAGTTGCCGGTACTCACATCAGAGTGTCTATTAAAGTAAGTAGTGCTGAAAATAATTATGCTTAAAAGAAGGTGCTGGTACTGCATTGTGATGCATTCCCCCCCCCCCCCCACCCCACCCCACCCATCCACCCCACCCCACCCGCCCGCCCGCCCGCACGCACGCACACACACACACACACACACATTCCCCTATTAATAACATTATAGCACAAAATGATTTAAGAAGAACTTGGGATAGAACTGTTTAATCCAATACCAATAACTGGATGAATAATAAGAGTTAATGGGAAAGCATATAATTAAAACATTAAAACATGACAAGTAAATATACTGCGAGTTGCTTGGTACAAAATGAGTTCATACATTAGCAAAATAAATGGTCCACATGATCATTAAAACTAAAAAAAATAAAACGACAATTATGTATGTGTTTGTGCCCATGCATATTTTGCATCCAACCATTACCCTCATCACCATCATCATGTTTCATGCTGAGGAGCATAAGCATTCTTGGCTCACTATCTCACATGATCATCTCTGAGTTCTCAAGTCCTATTTTAGGGGAAAAAAGAATAGACCCACTGCCGTGCTAACAAGCATGTCATAAAAGATAACTAAGTAGAGGCAAGTAACCAACAGTCTGCATACAAATAAATGAGAGCTGTAAAACGGATGCACACACACAACTCAGGTGCAAGAACAAAGTCAAATTTAAAAAATTGATGAAAAACTAGGACTTTGTGCTGGAGTTCACAACCAGTGAGTGCAAACAAACAAACAAGATCCTCAGAATTATGGATCCAGTCTGTGTTTTTGTCATACTCATGCTATGTAGCTCCCATCCAAGTATATACGCTTTTTTGTTTTCATTTGTATATTTTCCATTAGGTCTGGCAAAGGCCACCATTTATTTTATGTTTCTTTCCCTTTATAAGATGTATAAAAGAGAACAATTCTCAACCCTTTACTGTCCATACTGCACTTCTCTAATTAGTTTATAGTTCCTATCAGTAATATGAAGGACTTCCTATTTTGTTTTTCAATCATCCTATTATACTCTTTGCCCCCTCCCCCATAAACCAGATTTCCACTGTCATTCAATGCATTTCAGCTTCAAATATGGTGAATCTGGTTTTGTTCTCTATATAGCGTATTGCACAGATGTCATGGCTGTTTCGTGATAGTTGTATGAGTTCAACTGATTGGGAACTTTCATGTTTTAATGAATGTAGAATTTCTTACTTCTTGGAGAAAACATAATTTCCATTTAATTCTTAATTTAGATCCTAAAAATGTCATACCAAAGTCTCTGACGAGCAGCTGTGCTTCATATCTTGCTTGTTCTGTGTAGTTGAGTTGAACATTAGCAGCAATACTCAACAGCCGGTTCTTGAATTGTGGACTCAGTACTGGATCAGGTTGAAGCTTGGCCTCATATCTGTTAAATTTAAAAATATTGTCTTCACTGTCTGTATTTATTGTGGTATAGGATGGGGTGGGATGGCAGGAGATAATCCTAATCCTGCCCTGAGAATTTAGGTCTGCATGGTTAGTAAAGCGGTCATGGTTGATTTGTTGAAATGAAATCACTAGCAGGTTGTTGGTTAAAAAGTAACTATTCAATTTTTGTTCCTAAATGGGGATGATTTTTTTAAGGATCACTTTGATTGCACATAGATATCTCCACAAGTTGAAATATTGAACATGGTATTTCTTTTTTACTCCCAGTCTCTCCAAAACATTTATACAAGGCCATGCCGTGCTAATGTAAAGAGATGCGGTCGCATCTGGCGCATCGTACGGGATCAGCATGAGCAGCGAAATCAAAATACAATTTGAACTTTTGATCCAACATCGTGAAACTCATCACCTCCTCATGTTGTTTAGACAATGAGAATCTCAGCTCGATAAGCAAAATCTGCAGCAGGTACAAAATATGTCCATACACCAACATTTTGCAATCAGTAAATAAAATTTTGACAGTTTCTTTTTTAATCATAATTTAGTTTATGCAAAAACGTTTATGCTGGCCTATACTTTTCAATATTAAAATGCGAAAGGAATTTTACTCTTTCACTACCACCAAGAAATTACTTTAACTTTTTATATACCTAAACAATTCTGACTGAAAGCAGCTACAGTTTAAATTAAAACTATGCTCAGCTGGCTGCTGCATGCAGCACAATGATAGATATAGGCCCAGGAGAGATATGGAACAAACAGCCCAGGAGCAACAGGCAACAGCAGACAAACTAACTGACTGGTGTTAGGCTTGTTTGAGCTGATGTCACAAGTCTCCAGACAGATGGTAGAAACGTCAACTGTATCAACAGAGAAAGCAAACTGAAGTATCTGGGAATCACACTTGGCAGGAGTCTGTTCTTCAAGGACCATGTGGAGATGGTTGTGACAAGATCCCAAAAGGGACTCAATGCACTTAAGACCTTGGCTGCAATGGAGATAGAGCAGAGAATGCTTTCCACAATATATCAGCACATAGTCCTCTCAGTGACTGATTATGGACTAGGACTGCTTAGTGTCTCCAAGAGTCAGCTGGTGAAACTCATCATCATCATCATCATCAGATGCCTTGCCGACTGGCGTGGGCGATCATGCCTCTCCACAGTCTGCGATCTCCCGCATCATGTATCAGTTTGTGTGCAGACACACCTCCAAGCCATGCAACAAGACTGTCAAGCATCTTCTCTCGTTGTCTTTCTCTATCTCTCCTTCCACAGATGATGTCTCTGAAACATCCCGAAATAAATCACATTGCTGTGTTTTTTATGCTCTAGTTTCACCAGAAATTATCAGATTTCTGGTGAAACTAGAGCAACTGCTAAAGAGCATGATACACATACACATCATGATTTTAACTGACTCAGAAAGAATGCTGAGTAAGGCGAGGGCAGGCGTGCTTCGTGCAAATTGGCATGGTTCGCTTTGAAGGTCATGGGTGAAGAACATTGTCTGGGTCTTTTCTCCGGGCACGCCGGTGTGTTGGGAAATGAGCAGGTGGACAGACTGGCTGGCTCTGCACAACTTAGTGGAATATTATCAAATGATAAGTTAGATGCAGTAAAGGCCTTATGGGAGCATGAATGCAATTTGGAGTAGCAAATGGACCATCATAATTTGGTGAGAATGGTGCAGCGAGGCTTGACAAGGGAATCTGGCCGATACATGAATCTATTTATATTCATGTTAACAAGGCTTTATTGCATTCGAACAACTCATCGTGTGTTGCTTGGTACTGGAAGAGTTAAGAAGCAGATTCAAAAAGACAAAATATTTCTGTAACACTTTAAACTGTTTACATTGGTTAACACCCACCTGGTGTATCGCATCTGGACCCTGGTTGTGACAGCTTTATCTTCAATCTGTTTTGACTTGACTTGTTCATGTTCATATGAAAATCCTCCACTGACCGACACAGAAGATGTGCTCAGTCCAGCTTGAATGTTGATAGTGTTAGATGTCGTGGAACTGGTGTTGAGCCAGTGGTCATTAAGCTCCGCGAATGTTTCCACTGAACTGGACTGTTCAATATTTACGTAACTTATTAAATAACATTTGTGTAATCAAGTTTAATACACAGAAATATAGCATCATAAAAACTTGTAATTATTGATAATCACAATATAATTATTGATAGATTATCTCCAGCTCATTTTGTTTTGTGTTGTTACTTCACCTTTAGTGTGATCATCTCCTTGTTCATACACCTTGTGCTGTGATCATTCACTTGATCTTAGTGTGATCATTATTTTTATATTAAACCTTTGCGATCATTATCTTGAATATTGTTATTTTAAATTTCAATTGTGATAATCGTTTAAGTAATAATCTTTACATTGTGATTATCCCCTTAATCTTACTTCTTACATCTGATGTATACTTTTTGTATTACACCTGACACTGTGATTACTGTTTTAATAATATTCCTGTGATCATCCTTGAAGATCATCCTGTTGATATTACACCTTCAGTTGGGATCATCATTTCAATATTTTTTTATTGTGATCATCATCGTTCTCCTACAGCTTAATGGTGATCACATTTTTTATAATACATCTTAAATTGTGATTTCAATGTAATTTTATTCTTTACATTGTGATCATCTTTTTTTTCCTACTACTTACATGGTGATCACCCTTTTAATATTATTTCTTAAACTGATATCATCCTCTTGATTTTACTACTTAAATGGTGACATTCTCATGATCCTGCTCCTATTCACTGTATCATCTTGTACACTGTGAACATTGTCTTGTTCTTTCTCCTTACACAGACTGAGAATGTAAGGTGATGTTAATCACATAACAAATACTGCCTTCACATAATGACTCTGAGAAGATATATGCCTAGCAACTCTATTTCTATTACATTTAGAAAAGTAGTTGGCATTTTGTGTTGTGATTTACAGCTAGCTTTTTTCCTCTTTTGGCCCAAAACATCTGATTTCAGCAAAAACTTTATTAGTTACCTTTTATGACGTGCCTGTTAAGGTTTTCTTCATATAGTCCATCATGTGGGGTGTTCATAGCCATGTCTATCAACAACCTACTCATGTACTTTCAACCAGTACCTACACAGATAATATTCCATGGGATTATATCAAACTGCCCAACATCTTTTCTCTCAGTCTCTTTTTGTCTCTTTTTCCCTCCAACTTTCTCACCATCACAATACACTTCAGTCTTCTTCTTCTCATGACATAACCAACGAATGTAGATTTAACCACTCTGATGTGGGCAATCAGTCCTCATCGTGAGTCAGTTTCTTTTAAGACATCTTCTGCACTCTTTTAAACTGTCCAGCATTTTTTCACCATTGGCCTATAAAACCACATCTCGACAGCTTCCAAATAACCTTTCACTAATCATCCATCTGTCCGTGATTCAGCTTGTTAAGATGCAATGGGTATACCCCCCCCCCCCCCCAACCCACTATGATCCTGAAACCCATAATGGGAGCCAGACAATAAACTACAAAATTGTGTTTGTACCCTCATTAGTTAAAGTTGACACTGCTTATAGTTCCCATTATACACATTTTCTGTGAGACAAAGCATGTAATATTGATGATTATTATTTCCTAATTGAGCTTAAATTCTGGAAGACCTAGACTTCGCTGACGACATAGCACTCCTGAGTTCAGAACACACAGACGCCCAAGAAAAAATCAATCGACTCCAGAATTTCTCAGAACAAATTGGACTCCAAATTAACACCGCAAAAACAAAAATTCTAGACCTTACCAACAGTTCAGTTGATATCACGCTGAACAACAACAGCCTTGAAAAAGTCAACAGTTTCACTTATCTAGGGAGCAAGATGTCATCTACAGGAGATACCGCACCAGAAATATCATTTAGAATAGCACTGGCATCTAGTGCCTTCAATAAACTGTCTAACATCTGGAAATCAAAGACACTTAGCAAACACACAAAACTCAAGATCTTCAATTCTTGTGTGATTCCAGTACTAACCTATGGATGCGAGAGTTGGAAATCAACGAAAACTCTAGACACAAAATTAGACAGTTTTGAAAATAAATGCCTTAGAAGAATACTAAATTTCAAATGGTCAGATTTCCGAACCAATACACAAATAAGGCAAGAATCCAGGCAAGAGTATGTGTCTAATTTTATACGAAAACGCCGCTGGAACTATGTCGGCCACGTCCTTAGAATGGATAAATCAAGACTTCCTTACCAAGCCCTCATTTGGACACCACAGGGGAAAAGATCTCGTGGAAGACCAAGGGAAACCCTACGTAGAACTATCATCAGGGAAGGCTCGCTCATGGGCCACTCAAACATCCAAGACCTACAACGGATTGCAACGGACCGCCGTGCATGGAGAGTCACGACCTCTGCCCTATGTGCCGCACTCGACACAAGAGGAAAGACTAACTAACTAACTAATTGAGCTTAACATTACCTTTATAGGCACTGTGAACACATTGTCAGGGATGAGAAGTCGGCCATCATCTGTAACCTTACACTGGGTGAAGTTGTAGGACACCACCAAACCTCCTTCTACATTACGCAAATTGTCCCAGCCAATGCCTGGTATCACCTGATGGAATGCAAATTTTACAATGTGAGATTGGAAGCCAAATTAAATTTTGCTTATTTGTGTTTTAGTTTTATTTTCAACAAAATAACTGACAGGCTGACTAACTAGGGAGCCATCGTTGTGTAGTGGCTAGATCCTTGCCTGGAGATCTGAAGGTGGTGGCTTGAAATCCAAATAGAGCCAGACTTTTTTCAAAAATGATCTTTCTCCCAGGCTTAAATAAGTATCAGGTAAAGTTGTGAGAAAAAAAGGCAGCTTGCGTGATGTTGACCACATCACGCACCAAGTGCCAGTTGGTTTATAAAATATAGTTCTAGCACTACGTGCCAATAATTCATTTTTTATTTAAAGATCATCTTCATCGCAAATCAGACATGACTATATGCCCAATTCATCTGGCTATAGACTGACTGGTTAATTGACTGATTTTTTCTCTTATGTGCTGCTACTAAAAGAGATGACAATGATTTGAAGCTGATGTTAATTCAGTGGGATTAATTCCAGATTTTCACACCTTAGATATTAGTTAGTTAGTTGGGTTATCATCCATAGGTGCTAATATCTTCCTCTCAGTATGAACCCCAGCATTCAGCGACTAATAGTACCAGTTCTATGTTGATTACCAAGTCCTCTGTGTCGTCTCGCTTTTTTGCTATGCTGATGTTAACTCCTAAGTCTATCATTCTGGCGAGTGATGTGGATTCACTGCACTTTCTAAGAGGGCATTAATAACATCTGCATGATCCATAAATTCACCCTCGGTAGTGATAGCAGATCCAGCCAACATATCAGCTCTTTCATTTCCAGTGATGCCTGCATATCCTGGAACACCTTAGATATTTCCTTAAGTAGTTATAATTAGGACATCCTAACAGTCCCACCAAATACTATACTGCTGTGTACCATTGTGCCATACAGTTAACAGAATCCCTTGCTGTCAAAAAATATATATATATAAATCAGCTGAGAGCTTCAACTGAGAAAGGATTCCTTGCTGGCAAACAAATAAACAGATAGCTTCAATTAAGGATCAGAGTTTGTAGTCATTTAATGCATTCTGTTTATAGACAGACAATTCTCCAAAGAACTGAAAAGGAAGAAGAGTGTTAATTTTTAGTCGGCACATTTCCATCTTTCCAGACAATATGCTAAAGGAGGCATGAGAATCACAGCCCATGGCAATCCATTGCCAAAGCCTGGAGAGATCCTGTATTGCCCATGCAGCAGGAACCTTCTCTAAGCCTGCCTTGTTTACTGCAAAGGAAAGGCACCACCAACAGTTTTGGAACAAAGCATTCTGCAGAAGTTGCCTGATCAAGAAAGTAGTGCTGTCTGTTCACCTGTTAGAGCTTTGATCCTAGACCAGCTGCCAACCAAGGACAAGGGCCTGATCTGAGCTGCCATAACATTAAGTTTTCTGGCTGCATTTTCTCTTCAAGAAAGCATATGGTAAGATGTAAATAGCTCTCAACTGATCTTGCTACGTCAGTGTCTCTTCTTACACACCATGCTCTGTTGGTTATAATGTCTACCCACAGTCTTCTGTCTTATGTACTGTTAATTATTTCTGACACAAATTTTTTTCTGTGCGTGTAAGTCAAATGGTCTGACATCTTCTCTCTTGATCGCCTTCTGCTTCTCTTCCCCTCCAGCTCTACAACTGTCACATAAAACTCTAGTCTGTTTTACCTTTTCATTATGTACCAAGAGAACTTATGGTGACTTTTATTGGAGGTAATTAGTTCTATTGGTGAATTAGCTTCTTTCAAAACATCTTCATTACACTTGTTATCCATCTATGGTGTTCTCATTTTCTTCTACAAAACCACATATCTTCAACTTCTACATGATTTATTTTTACTAATAAGTTGACTGTCTGTAATTGCCTTCTGTACATTAGCACTGGCCATATGAAAATAACACAGAGACAATGGTAATAACAGGAGAGAGAAAGGATAAAACTCTGGCCACATACAAATAGATGATATTAAAATCAAAATAACTTGGATAGAATCTTCAACCTCAAATATATTAGGAGAAAAACTACAACAATTTAGAATACAGTAAGGAAATAAGATATACATATACTTTTACTCTACAACATTTGCTAAAATCAAATTATCTGCCTTGAAACACTAATCATAATATATCAAACACTAATAAGACTAGCAGTCCTATATGACACTGAAACCTGGAGTAAAGAAGAATTATTATTACAAACTTCTGAGCACAGTCTTACTACAAATTTTGACCCATCAAAGTTTTAAACAATGGAGAAATGAGCCAGAGAAGAAATAATGAAATTCATAATCTGTTTCAGTTACCACTAGTTACTGGCATCATGCCAGCTAATAGACTACAAATGTTAGGGAATGTTTCCAACCTCTTGGTGTGAAGGATGCTCACTAATGTAGGCTTAAATTGGGTCCCTCACTTTAATACTCCTGAGAATTTATATACTGTGAAAAAATGTGATTTTTTTTTAGAAGAACGAGATTAAACCAAAAACAACTGTAATTAGGTGATTTAACAAAACAAAAAAAAAAGAACTCGCAAAGTGTACTCGTTACCCACATAAGAAGAATATAACATTTTTTAGGCATGTCATGGGAAGGGCGAAACTGGAGTACATCATAACAACAGGAAAATAGTACAGGCATATGGATATGGATACTAAGACAGCGGATGTTGGGCAGTGGTATTATGGCACAAAGGAAGATACATTATGTAAGACAGCAGGCTGGGGACAGACATAACTGCCAATGCCATTGCATGGACTAAGATAACAAGCAGATGCAACAAACGGGGAAAAAAACGTTGATTATTTTATGTTGTTTAGTAAACAGGCCAGTATAGTGTACACTCACAGACTGGCTGTTTTTAGCTACAGGTTTCTAAAACTTTTCAGATGTACAAAATAGTAAACAATTGACAAGAAATAGCAAGAAAATATAGCAAGCACCTGAAGAAGAAATGTACAAAAAGCACATATTATTATAAAGTGCGGCAGAGACCATTTGTATGAGTATTTATTTTTGTGTGATCCGAAGGACAGGAGGTTTCAAACACCACTAGAAAATTATTCATGGGAATGCCCCAAGTGCTGCGATGTCAGTTGACTCACCTCAACTCAAATCAAGTACATAAAATACAGATCATAAAAAGGCTGTATGTAAAATGAGATTTTTTATGAGCATACAAGCATAATTTATACTTCGAATCTCTTGACATCAAATTTGCTCAGTCGAAGTTGTTCCTGGCATCTTCTAGAGTCTCCAACAGGCCAGTCTGATTCAAATTTTCCCAAGTCTGACTTCACCAGTTGTTCTGTTGTTGGGGTCGCTGTGCCATCTTGAAGTAATGCCACAAGAAATACCCAGGATACAATGTGCTGGGGGTTTAAAAAATATTTGACAAATAAAAATGCAAATCTGAAATGTTACAAGATTGAAAAAGAAGGCTAAAGAATATACCAGGTAGAATAGCAACTAATTTTCTCAGAGAAAATTTTTGCTTTTAAATTATTGTTGTGCTATAGTTTAAGCTAGACCGCAAAATTTGTGCCTTTCAGATCATTACAACAACTTTCAGATCATTACAACAACTTTCATCAAACCCTTAATTCAGCGGTTCCCAACCTGTGGGTCATGACCCTTCTGTGGGTCAAAGGACCCTTTCACAGGGGTCTCAAAAGACCATCAGAAAACACATATTGACTGGTTATGAAGAAGCAACAAAAATAATTGTATGGTTGGGGGTCGCCACAACATGAGGAACTAACTGTATTAAAGGGTCGCTGCATTAGAATAGTTGAGGCCCACTGCCCTAACTGGTCACCTGATACGACATACTTGTCAGGGAGCCAGTGTGATACTTGTCAGGGAGCCAGTGTGATACTTGTCAGGGAGCCAGTGTGATACTTGTCAGGGAGCCAGTATGATACTTGTAAGGGAGCCAGTGTGATACTTGTAAGGGAGCCAGTGTGATACTTGTCAGGGAGCCAGTGTGATACTTGTCAGGGAGCTAGTGTGATACTTGTCAGGGAGCCAGTGTGATACTTGTCAGGGAGCCAGTGTGATACTTGTCAGGGAGCCAGTGTAATACTTGTAAGGGAGCCAGTGTGATACTTGTCAGGGAGCCAGTGTGATACTTGTAAGGGAGCCAGTGTGATACTTGTAAGGGATCCAGTGTAATACTTGTCAGGGAGCCAGTGTAATACATGTAAGGGAGCCAGTGTAATACTTGTAAGGGAGCCAGTGTGATACTTGTCAGGGAGCCAGTGTAATACTTGTCAGGGAACCAGTGTGATACTTGTAAGGGAGCCAGTGTAATACTTGTAAGGGAGCTAGTGTGAATCTTGTCAGGGAGCTAGTTTGATACTTGTCAAGGCGCCAGTGTGGTACTTGTCAGGGAGCCAGTGTGATACTTGTCAGGGAGCCAGTATGATACTTGTCAGGGAGCCAGTGTGATACTTGTCAGGGAGCCAGTGTGATACTTGTCAGGGAGCCAGTGTGATACTTGTCAGGGAGCCAGTGTGATACTTGTCAGGGAGCCAGTGTGATACTTGTCAGGGAGCCAGTGTGATACTTGTCAGAGAGACAGTGTGATACTTGTCAGGGAGCCAGTGTGATAGTTGTCAGGGAGCCAGTGTGTCTCTTCTTCTCCGCCCATAAAATGGAACATCAGAACCCAACATGGGGACGATAAGTCAATGTTAATAATAAAGCAACATCCTGCTGTAAGTGAATAAGTTAATAATTAACTATTATTCAGCACATAGGACAGATCAATCTAACACCATATAAGTGTATATCAATCACTGTAGCTATATGTGTGTGCATAGGAAATTGTAAATTATGTTTACCATTTTTACAACTGAGGACAGTTTTTGGTATTATTACAAATCAATTGCATTATCTGCCTATCTAGAATAGTACACTTATAATGTAGATTTGTGAAAGTAACACTGCCTATGTTCTATAACTGAATACATTACTCACATCTACATTTTAAAGGAACTTTAGAAAAGGAATGGTGAATGGACCTGAGCTTTGTTTAAGTACTATAATAATAATAATTTTCTAAATGGCAAAAAAAAAATATTTATTTTTGAAAATAAGGTATGTGTTGAAACAAAAACTTTCAAAAAAAAAAATTTCTCTTCGGGGTTTGGTGGGGGGGGGGGGGGGGAGTTTAGCACCCTCACAAATTAAGGGGTAGGGGCTGAGCTCTCCCCCCCCCCCCCCACCATTCACCCATAAAAAAGTCTGGGGTCTCAAGGCGCCCTAGCTCTAAATGCTGACGCCCCTGCAATGCACTCCTGGTCATAGGAACTGTGATCTGAACTAGAAACCTAATCATTTAATTAATGACCACTAGAAGCTTTCCCTGCTGACATTATGAATGACACTGTAACGTGTTGTAGGTAAAACCGATTAAAACATTCTGTCTGATAACACCGATATGAGTTTGAACATGCAGTGTTGACATTCTTTATGTTCTTATTAAAAATAAACCAAGGTCAGGGAAGACGGAACCTAACGACTTAGTAATTTTGAGCACACCCCCTTCCCCGCCCCTTTTATTTAGCCTGAGGCCCACCCTTTCTCTTAAAAATGATAAAGTAAAAGTAAAGATCCATTTTCACGACTCTAGGCGTGTTGGACCTGGTAATAGACTGGGAAATATTTTTACTGACCATTTGGCACTAGGTGGGTAACGTGGTCAGCATTACGCCGGCCGTCTTTACTATCCCAGGACATTCATCCTAGCACCCATTCTAGGCTGGGTCGACCTGCGACGCCCCATACCATAATACAAATCCACACTCTGAAAAAATTATAGAATAATTTAAATAACTCTTTCAGTAATGATGCACGGAAGGCGTGAAAATTATCCATTACTTAAACTGAGTACATACTTAAACAAATTATCATAAATGATGACCTCATAAATGGTCTAACTTAGATGATATAATTTCTGTGATTTTGCAGGAACAAATTGTTTATTTATTTATTTATTTATTTTTTTTTTTGCTACAAATTAAACGATAGCATATTTCTATCATCCATATACTGTATTTAAAAGGTGTGTAGATTTTAATTTTTTCCGAGAACATCTGGTGTAAATGAAACCAGTCTTGGTCTCAACAGTGAGAAGGTGTTAAACAAAGCTCTTTGTTCATGTGATGAGTAAAGGGGCCCTGGAAAATATGACGACTGGAAAGATCACTGGTAGAAGATGCAGAAGCAGACGAAAAGAAATGATGGTGGATAGCTTGAGACAGCGGCATGAAGGAATATCATCAGTGGAATTGATTCAGCAGACCAAAGACCGAGATCTGTGGAGATGCATGAATGACTACGCCAGCTGGCAAGGCACTTGATGATGATGATTGGTCTCATGCTTTATACAGCTTGGGGCCTCATCAAGTCAAAATCCGGGCATTTATCAGCCCTCTTCTTAATTTATCTTAGAAAGAGAACGTCTTTGTGTGCTCGTAGATGGGGGAGGGGGTATGCGCTTATCTTTCTTGCACATTTTTTTTTCCAGAGGGAAAGGGGAGACTCGGTCCCTTTAAAACTATGGAGGGGGGGGGGAGAGAGAAGACTGCACTCCCAGATTCCGGCGACTCTGCTATATGTGGTTATGAGGGCACGGCCTAGAAGTTCGCTCTGCCGGGGAGTCAGTAATGCCGTTAAAACAGTACTAACTTTCGCTTTTAGTTTGCTACTTCCTTCGAAGTCGGAGTGCATCTGCCCGTGCGGCAAGGTACAATCAACTGCACACAAATAAGCCAGTAAAACGGATAAACACGCAACACTCAGGCTCTGGCACAAAGCCAAAGTCCAAATGGACGAACAACCAGGACTTTCCGCCACAGCTTACAGCCGGTGAACAAAGAAAGAAAGAAAGATTCCCTAGAGGAATATGGCATGTGTACAAAACTAAGAAACATTTACTGCTCTACTTGTTTTAGAATTAATCAATACAGTTTGTTTGCGCGCGCGCGTGTGTGCCTGTGAGAACATTGCAGCCGTTTCGTAGAAAATGAGCATACAGACCGAAGCAATAGAAAGAAAAAAAAACAGTTTCAAAATTGAACACTTCCGCCAATACTTAACAGCGAAAAAAAACAGTTAACTGAAAAACATCAATATCATCATAACCTACGGTGAAATAGTAAAGTAATAAGTGCACAACATAGTGGTGATTCAATAAAACGACTGCTTGCTTGCCTATTGTACCCCACTACGACATCACGCAAGCGATAAACACCCGGTGACACAAAGGGCCACCACGCGGATCAGGATAACCCATGAAAAGGTCTCAAAAACCCCTTTCAGCCGTTATGGCCACATTTGTGGCCCAGCTGTATTCAAGGCCCCGGGCAAAAGCCAGGGTGGGGCTTCGAATAACAAAAAAAATTGCATGCCACAAGGGGACGAATTGACTAAATATAAAACGACGTTGTAGTTGGGTATATAGTAATGGGTGAATTGTTACAGACTCATCGGAGTCACTGGCTAATACCAAGTCACAAGTGGCCACCTTTGATTCCCGTGGCGTTTCCTGGTAGGTAGGTAGGTAGGTAGGTAGGTAGGTAGGTAGGTAGGTAGGTAGGTAGGTAGGTAGGTAGGTAGTTGTACCCCACCAGGGCATCACACAAGCGATAAATACCCAGTGAAACAAAGTGTGATCATGCGGATGAGGATAACCCGTGGAGAGGTCCCATAAACCTCTTAAGCTGTATTTATGGCAAGGCCATATCTATGCCCCGGCTATATTCAGGGCCCCCGGCAGAAGCCAGGGTGGAGGGGAAGACAGGACAGGTTTCCTGGTATCCACTTTAGGCTGAAAACCTGCAAGTACATGACATGTTTTTATCGTTTCAAAGGAGGAAGTGCAAAACAAGGTCATTAGTTAGACAGGCAGGCAGGCGAGAATAGTTAAGTTTCTACTCGTCTACAGATGACTTCGATTTCCAGTATGTTAGTACCACAACCGTCTGTAATTGTATAGAGGTCGTGGTTTGGAGACAGCATTGAGTAGGCTACGGTTGAGATTGACAAGAATCTAAACCAGCGGCTCCCAAAATATTCTCCATGGAGCCATTCCAGGGGTTCACTCGGTGCCTTATGAAAATAAAATAACATTGAATGAAATTACAAATTACGAAACAAAAACCTTTTTCTCTTAACTTTCCGTTCCAGTTTTATATGACCCCTCTTCCTTCGCTCTGCATCATTACTTCTTAGCACCACTAAACTGTAAGACACGCAGTACAGTAGGCCTCATGGGTTCCACTAGAAACACTGATTACAAAAAGGGCTCCGCAAATCAAAAAAGGCTGAGAACCACTGCCTAAAACACAGAAGCAGGTCAGAGTGA